TTAAAAGTTTAGAAACCAAAGGTAAGTGTTCTTCTTTTGATGATAATTGTTTTAAAACATGAAATTTATGATACTAATGTTTGAGCCAGGTAACTAAACCTTATAGATTCCCAGAGAATCATTTTTATTTCAATCACTTCATACTTATTTTGTAGTGCATTGTTTGTATTTCAGTACTTCAGATATACAAGCGAATATTTGCATCGTTAGTATTAGGTGACTACTCTTAAAAATTTACTGTAAAAACAAAGTTTTACAGCTGTATTCCCTATGCACTAGATTAAGATTTAAATAAACAAGAATATATATTTTTAAAGATTTAAGTAGATGGACAAACAACTAGCAGTTATCAAAGACCTCCTGTTGTATTAGTTTGCTAAGGTTGCTGTAACAAATTACCACAAACTGCATAGCTTAAACAACAAAAATTTATTGTCTCACAGTTCTGGAGGCTAGAAGTCCAAGATCGAAATGTCAGCAAGGCCATGCTCCCTCTGAAGGCATTAGGGAAAGATCTGTTCCGGGCCTTTCTCCTAGCTTCTGGTGATTTGCTGGCAATCTTTGGTGCTCTTTGGCATGTAGACATACCACCATGATCTTTGCCTTCCTGTTCACCTGGTATTCTCCCGATGTGCATGTTTCTGTGACCAAATTTCCCATTTTTATAAGATAGCAGTCATACTGGATAAAGAACCCACTCTACTTTTATATAATTTCATCTCAACTTATTATATCTGCAGTGATCCTAGTTCCAAATAAGATCTCATTCTGAGGAACTAGGGGTTAGGACTTCAACATATAAATATTTGAGAGATACAGTTCAATCCATAACACTTGCTAAATACAATAGACACTTTTTAGCCCTGCCTTGCTTGCCTCTCTGTAATATTTAATACTGTTGATCATTCTCTACCTTTTGAAATACTTTCTTTCCATGACTTCCATGACATCACTTTTATTTTCAACCTACTCTGTAGCCCTTCACTGTCCAATGCAATAGTCACATATGGCTATTTGAATTAAATTAAGATTTTTTAAAAATTAAAAATTCAGTTCCTCAGTTACACTAGCCACACTTCAAATACTCAATAGCCAAATGGGGCTAGTGGCTATCATATTTCTGTCATCGCAGAAAATTCTGTTGGACAGCACTGCTCTAGTTATATCTTCTGTGTTTCTTCAGCCTCCTTTCCTCTGGTTTATCTTTTAAATGTCAGTGTTTTTCAGCCTTCTTTCTCTTCTCAGGACTTCGGAATTATCTATAGGAATAACTTCCAAATCTGTCTAGAGCCCTGATCTCTTCCCTTATGATTCAGACCCTTATAACCTACTGTCTACTGGCCATCTTCATTTAGATACAGGCAACAGTTTTAACATGTCCCAAAGTGAACTCCTCCTGACCCAGCTTATTCTTTGGCTGCAGTGAGTTCTGCAGGCTGGGACCATCAGTGAGAGATGGGAAACTATTTTCTGGAAGCCAGCTTTGCAGCAAGCAGACCTCCAGCAGCAAACTTAACTTTAGAGTGGGGTTTGTAACATATGTAGGAAACAAGGAAGAAAGATCATGGCAATAAATATTTAATTGAATTTCATTCAGCTATGTTCAGCAGCGTTCCATAAGTCACCAGAAGATTTTTGTAGTATTAGAATAAGCAAATCAGAGATTGTAGTGGAAGCAATAAACTAGGAAGTAATGGGAAATAAGAGCAATTAAATGATATCTAATGTGAAAGCAACTAGCATGGTGCTTGGCAAAAAGCAAAAACTAAACTTTATGATTACTGATTAAAAGTTAGTTATTGTAAGACCTCTGTAAAAGTAATTCTTTTTTATTATTATTGTTTGTGATGAGGTTGGAGTTATAAAGCACTTTACAAACATTATTTCATTTGATCTTAATTATCCAGTAAGGAAGATAATCCAACTATTAGCCTTATTCCTACTTAATATGTTATCTACTGTTAGTGAACAAAAGTTGCTTGTATTGCATGGTCTGAGAAAAAATGTACTTAACATGATTTACATTTGTCAGTTGTACTTCCTGTAGTTACCTCAGGAGAAAAATAGTTACCTACTTCCTGTAGTTGCCTCAGGAGAAAAGCACAATTGTTTATTTTAGCAATAGAACTTCCTCTCGGAGGACATTTGAGCAATACTCTCATCAAAAGAGGAATGTATCATTGCTACTATACTGATTTCTAAAGGGGAGACATACAATAGATAGTAACAATTAGAAAATTAAAATTAAAATCCAAAACTTTTGGGGGGCATAAGATTAAAGTCAGTTTAGTAAAATAGACCAAATAGGTCTGAGGCATTTAAATATTCATAATTCCAAAAAATAGTCTAACTTCAATGCTAGTTCTGTAGAATAATAGGTATTAAGGATTTCAGGAGCAGACAAATTTGGGAAATCCTGGATTAAAAGAGAAGTTAGGCTGGGTGTGGTGGCTCACACCTGTAATTCTAGCACTCTGGGAGGCAGTGGGAGGATGGCTTGAGCTCAGGAGTTTGAGACCAGCCTGAGCAAGAGCAAGACCCTGTCTCTACTTAAAATTGAAAAACTTAGCCAGGCATGGTGGCACGTGCCTGTAGTCCCAGCTACTCAGGAGGCTGAGGCAGGTGGATCCCTTGAGCCCAGGAGTTTAAGGTTGCTGTGAACTAGGCTGTGAGCTAGGCTGATGCCACTGCACTCTAGCCTGGGCAA